ATAATTCAAATCACCACCCTTAGCTTCCCTGAGGGTATACCTACGAATCTCCTGGGAAGATTCGCTCTCCTCTTGCTCCGGCTGTGTGTCTTGGATCATCCTCATCTCACCCCTGGATTTGGGACAGCAGCTGTCATCTGATCTGCTGATCGAGGTTCATCAACCCCGAGAGTTGGGAGGATCCACCAGACCTACTCACGGACCCGGGACTCGCCAGCCTGCCAGCCTCCACCACTACGTGAGACGAACCCTTGGGTGTCTGTGAGTTCTGTGAGGCATTACAGCGAAATACAGAACCCTAAGACTGGGGAAATTACTGGGAGGAGGAGGAGGACTTAATGTCTGCAATGATGGAGTGGCATGGTAGTTTGGACATTTGGGACATCTTTGACCTCTGCCTCATGGGGACCGGGCTCGTGCTGATCTTCCTAAGAGAAATTGTTCAAGCAGATGACATTTAATAAGTGTAATTTTAATAGCTTGGATCTATTTTTAAGGACCTCTCCTGGCACAATGGGTAAGGTATTTGGCTGCTAACCAGAAGATCAGCAGTTTAAATGCACCAGCTTTTCAGCAAGAGGAAGATGAGGCAATCTACTTCTATAAAGATTTAGAGCTTTGGAAACCCAGTGGGGGTTGCTATGAGTTGGAATCACCTGATGCCAGTGTGTTTGGCTTTTCTTTGATTTCTATCTCTTTTTTAACAAAATAATTGTAAAAGAGAAATCACACTTCATAGTAATCCATGCAAAACTAAACAAACTCTGATGTTGGAAACAGCCACTTGCATACCTAGCCAAATTGGCAGAATCCACTCACATGGTAGTTGCTACAAATACGTTGTTCTAGAGATTTTCGTGGAAAACCTAGCAGATCTAATTGAACTCCTCCAGCTCAGTCTGAGTCAATAGTGTAATGCAGCTAATAATTTAAAGGGGGGGAGGAAGCTGATGAAATCTTGGGCTGTATTCTTAAGAATTCAAGCAAGCATCTAGACCATGGGAGAATCCATTGTGTCTCTGTTATTTAAGTGGTATACAATTATGCTATATTTTCTTATAAAATGGCCTTGAGGAATGTACCTACTTGATAACCACAATCACTCAAAACCCGTGAGCCGAGAACAACACTCCTATATCTGGGAAAGTCATCTTCGCTTACCGGCAGCAATGCATTTAAAGAAGGGATGGAGAAAGGGCAGGGAAGTAACTGAGTAGATCACTGGAATGACCAGTGCTACAGCCAGTTGCCCCGCAGCCAAGTATATTTGTATGAGTCACTAGCTCTTTCAGCAAAGAGTATAATTTTTATCATTCACTTCTTAGATTGTACATAGTTTTATGCCAAGTCTATGCACACCTACTGCTGCTACAACTCACATACTCTTAGGTTCCACAAGGGTTACTGCTGATGGAAGAGCAGCTGTTCTACCCTATTCACTAGGCTCCCATGACATTTTATCCTGTCGCTTTCTCTAAACACCTTAGAAATTAAAAGTGGAATAGATTAGGTCATCTACTCATTCTGTATGCCTGGGTCTATTCCCTGAGGCCATGTCTAGTCAAATTTCCAAACAGCAATTCCATCATTTCCTTTTGGAAGGTTGTTCTAGATCTTACTCACTCAATACTTGGGAATTGTTTCCTGAGTCTATAATGTACTTTAGCGTAGTGCCCAAGGCATTTGACTGCTAACCAGAAGGGTGGCAATTCAAACCCACCAGCCACTCCTTGGAAGGAAGGTTCGGCAATCTACTTCTGTAGTGATACCGCCTTGGAAACCCAAGGAGGGGTCACTATGAGTTGGGTCCAATTTGATGGCACATAACAACAACAACAAACAACATAATGTACTTGGTTTGACCCTCTGGTGAGCCAAGAAAATAAGTAGCTCTCTTAGAACAGGATTTTATTCTATACACCTGGAAAGTCAGTAGTCAAAGAATGGTATTTGAAGGGCTTCAGTTCTACCTTGAGAACACCTAATCTGACAGTCCATGCATTTCGTCAAGCTTGCTTCACTTTTTTTTTTTTTAAGTCACAGAAGGAATGTCCAACAAAATTTACTATAATGTATTTTATAAATTAAAATTCCATATGCACTCTAGTAAATAAAAATACCGAAGAGAGAACGGGGGAATTGGTAAGAACTACCCATAACTACACATGCTCTAGATCAGTGGTTTTGGCAGTAAGATCTATAAGAGCTCTCAGTGTTCCTCAGAGCCCTCTGGGATGCCAATTAGAGAAGAGGGGGCTGAGTGGTGAGGGTTCCTGGCCCCTCTCCAGCTTAAACCAAACCTGTTTTTTAGCCTGTTTCTTAGGAGAGCAGTTGCCTAACATCTCATTCTTACAAATGATTATTCAACACGATGAAAACCACAATTAAAAATAAAATCAAGCTAGTTTAAATTTTCACTGAAGTACATAAATGCTTACTTTGTTTGCACAGGGTTCTCAATCTTGTTAATTTCATTATTATATTTACCTTAGATCCTGGTGTTCCAGGCTGACCTAGTGAGCCATCACGTCCCATCAAACCCTACATTTTTAAGTGGCAAATTTCAAGAGTAATTTAGAGAAGAATATTAAAAAATATTAATTTCCAAGTTACACATCCTCACAATTAACCCAGTAAACTATAAGATGATATTGGAAACATTTTCATACACATACCAAATAAAGAATAAAAAAGGATCAAATTATACAAGATAGCATGAAGACTAGAAGGGTTCTTATAATTCTATTGCTCAAAAAACCTACAAATAGCACAAATTAATGGAGAACTAGTAAAAGTTGGAGTCATATTTAAAGGAGAGCTTTTTTTTCCCTATTTATTCCTGTGTAAAAAAAATTCACCAAATGTCTTACCAAGCACTGAGTAGGATATCTATTTTATTAAATTGATATAATTAAATGAAAAGTCATATATTTTCAAACATAAAAACCAATCTGTTTAGTTAAAGAGAAAGCTATTACAGAGAGTTTGATTCACACATTAAAATTAACAGTGATTTCTTTTAGCAATAAATTTAGACATTTTTAATGGAATTTTGTACATGCAAAATATGATTCTGATAATTTCTAATATTAAACTGCATATATCCCTTCTATTCCCAAAAACTTCCAAAATAATTTTTGCATTAGTTTAGGACCCTCCTACATAACTTTTCCTGAGAGTATTCACTCTCATTTTTATAATAAGTAAAGTTGCTAGAGTAGTTTTCCCTATAAACATCTTAGGATATTTTAAAAGGGCGGATGCTAGGAGAGGTATCACACGTAGATGGACCTGAGCAAGTAAGTCAGGCAAAGGCTAAACTTCTTTCAACAAAATCAGTGGCCTATTACTTAGGGTTTCTGGCTGTTTATCATTATTAGAGGTTCCATCTCTTAATGGTCTAAGATTTGGCATCAAATGAATGACTAATTGTACAAAGGAATAATTGGCATCACTAGAGTAATTCTCCTTTCCTTAAAATTTCTAGTATACAACAGTGGGAATGAAGTTGTTGCTTTTTTTGGTTTGTTTGGTTTATACCAGTGACTTTTCTTAAAAGTGATCCAAACTACCTTTATCTAAAATTATAAAGTTTTAAAAGGGGCAAAAAATAATATTCACTGAATTTTAGACTTTCTCACAGTACTCAGTATTTTCTAATGTATAGATAGAATATTTATTTGTTTCCTGAACTTTTTGGAAGTAATCAATTTTTTAAAAATCTTAAAAAAATAGAGTCTCTCCTCTATAAATATGGCAACACAGATAATATTTTTCATATAAATGTATAAAATTTGTGGACCCCAATAATCTTATTCTTAGATTCCATACAGTTTTGTGAACTCCAGAATAGTAATTCCTGGTATATAATAACAATATTTTTAACAGTCTCATAACAATGAGGTTAACATACAGGCATTCCCGGAACTCCTTTTTTTCCTTGTGGTCCTGGAGGTCCAATTTCTCCCTAAAAATCAAATACAAATCAAACTCTTAAATTCACTTTATTTATTTGCAGGAATTTTCTATGAAAACTCTATGGAATAAAATCTCAATACCAGTCACCTTCACTTTTCTGCCTTCTCTTTATTCTAATAAAGAAGCAAGACAAGGCAGAAAAATCAAGAATCAAAGAACTTAAAGACCTATGGTGTAAGGAATTAGTAACTCAATTTTTTCATTAGGAAATCTCGAGTGATGCTTGCCATCATCTTAAAGTAAAATCTAGCAGCTCACACAGAGTTGATGAGGTGAAATAGCAGCATGAGAAATAAAGTGAAAAAATTATATCACAGTGACTTCCACTGGGTTTCCAAGAAGGAAAATCTTTATGGAAGTAGATTGTCCCATCTTCCAACCATGCAATGGCTGGTGGGTTGGAACTGCCAACCTTCTGTTTAGCAATCAAATGCCTTAGGCATTGCATTACCAGAGCTCCTTATATAGAGTTTAGGGGTTATGATAAAAAAAATAAATTAATAGAGAAAAAATAGGTTCAGAATTTAGATAAAAATATCTAAAATTAATGGCTAATTAGATGCTCCCATAGATCTTCTGCATGTAGAAAAAAAAAAAATAGCAAGGACATCTTCTATGAGGCAGAGCTTGTTAAAAAAGTAGAAAAGGTCTTCAAAGATCACTGATTTGGGGCAGGGGGAGAAAAGAAACAAAATAACTCTTTGTTTGGGCTATGGCTATGAGAACTGGATGATAGCTCTGGTAGTGTAGTGCCTAAGGCATTTGACTGTTAACCAGAAGGGTGGAGGTTCAACCCACCAGCCACTCCTCAGAAGGAAGATTGGGCAATCTACTTCTGTAGTGATACCGCCTCAGAAACCCAAGGAGGGGTCTCTATGAATCAGATCTGACTTGATGGCAGTGAGTTTGGTATAGTCTTCTTCCTCAAAAAAAAAAAAAAAATTTACCAAATATATAAAAATAATCAATGAGATGAGAAAGCTATTAAGATTTGTAAAATATAAAATAAGAAAAGATAAAATACATCTAATTAGAATTCTAGAAAGAGAGAGAAGAGATCTGAAATAATTTGAGATAATGGCTAAAATTTTTCTGGAAATAATTGCATAGTCAGGAAGAAAACTGACCTACAGCTTGAATGAATAAAAAGAAATGTAGCTATATCATAATGAATTTTCAGAACATGAAAAGAAAATACTTTCAAAGAATCCCCAAAAAAAGGAAAGATCATTTGCAAAGAAATGATAACTGCAGAGCAGCAGATTTCTAAATGTTAACAATGGAAGTCAAGAAGTAATGGAATACGATCCTCCATACATTAAGAGAAAATAATTGTCAACTTTGAGTTGTATATGCTGTAAAACTATTCCTCAAAAACAAGAGTAAGATTAAGACATTTACAATTATGTAAAAACTGAAAGCTTAGTCCAAAATATGTACACTAAATGAAGTTCTAAAAATATAGTTAGGGAAGATGTAAAATTGTTCCAAATTCGTTTGAGAGAAAGATAAAAAGCAAGTAAAACGGTAAACAAATATGTAAATCCTAGTTAATATTATATGTAAAGAGCCAATCAAAATTTGCAAAACTGTTTCTAAGGTTGAAATACCAGCATCTGGTATTATATTAATTATATAATTAATTATACAATTATAATTATTCAAATACCATTTGTTCAACTATTATTTGAACAATTAATAGTTGGTATGAATGTGAGAAGAATGTATCCTATGTGAAAACAACAATGATGTGTCATCATTTGCCCTTTTGATTATCAGGTTGTTTTAAGCCTTTCAATTCTCATTAATACTCACCTTTTGTCCCATTATTCCTTGGTTTCCAGGAAATCCTGGAACTCCCTAAAAAATGAGATATATATATACATATTTAATATAAAAATGTGAGATTATATTATTAAAGAAAAACTATCATAATTAGAATATTTAGCTTATAAATAATACATTGTTTTAAACTTATGCATATTAAAATATAATACTGCTATGTTAAAGAGAAGGAAATTCTTATACATGTATTGATACCTTGGTAGATAAGGAAAGAAATTTGGGCCCATCAGTACTTCTTTGAAGCCCCTTTACACTATGAGGGTTTCAAAGAATAGCAGTACTCTGTAAATCAGGGAAAGTGTTATAGCTGTTATTAGCTATGCAATAAAGTATCTTCTACTATAAGGAGAATTTGCAACTTTGATTTTCATATACTGAGCAAATTAACACTACAATGACAAACATGTTAGTCACATATATAGTGTAAGACACAAGAACAGTTCTAGTGTTAAAATCCGAATATGAATCATACAGTAGAATTCAGGAGATCTCTCTCCTGAATCTCCAATGGATCTACAGACTCAAGACCATAGTACTGGGGGACACCAGACTCAATTGGCACAAGAAAATACATAAAAATCTTGTTCCTCAACCTACATTGATGAGTAGCGACTTGGGTCTAAGATGCAGCTAATGGTCTCCTATCATCGGATGCAAAGAGGAGTGCAAAAAACCAAGGGTATTTGGAAGCAATCAGCCCTAGGACACAATGGACCTCAAGACCAGAAGAACTAGATGGTGCCCAGCTACCAATGCCAACCACTGAGGAAAGGATCAAAACTGGAGATCCTGGATAGAGTGGGAGGAAAAACATGGAACAAAATCCAAAAACACAATAATGACCAGAATTACTGGTTGGATGAAGTCTGGTGGGACCCCAAATACTAGGGCCCTGGGATACATTTTGAGCCTGTAATAAAACTCACTCCCAGGGGCTGGCTCTCAGCTCAATAGTAAACAAGATGTACACGCAGACCACTCAACTCAGGGTGATGCACCCACATAATCTATAGAGATGCATTCCTTAGAGCAATCGACCACAGGGCACCAGAGGGGCAACATTCACACAGAGGAAATGCAGGACACACAGGAGTGCATAACTATGAGGGGCATGTGGTGGGGGGAGGTTACTGGGCCAGGAGGGGAGGAGACTGGGTTAGGGCTGGGGATGGTAATTGGGGAGTGAAACCAAATGCACATGAAATGTTAAATGTAAAACAAACTCTGCTCTGTAAACTTGAACCTAAAGCACAATAAAAAATAAATTAAAAGAATTCAGTTAAATTCTATTTAGCTCAATTCTGTTTGCCACTGCACTTTGACCTTTGCAGAGCACAAAGGTGATAAGTGAGCAATGTCTGTCAACCAGGGGCTTACAAAGTAGTTGAAAAAAACCTTTGTAAATATACTACTTCAAGAATAATATAAAGACAACATAAATATTTTTAAGTAGCACTATAAAACACCGGGAGCTCTGGTGACATAGCACCTAAGGCACTTGACTGCTAACCAGAAAGAAGGCTGGCAGTTCAAACCCACCAGCCACTCCTCGAAGGAAGGTTGGGCCATCTACTTCCATAGAGATATTGCCTTGGAAACCCAAGGAGGGGTTGCTATGAGTCAGATCCAACTCCACAGCAATGAATTGTTGTTTTGTTATTGTTATAAAATACCACCAAAATATACTCAATAAGTACTCTAAATAGAAAGTAAAAGTAAAAATCATTGAGTTTTAAGTATAAAGAAAATATGATATCAGTTATATCCTTCTAATGCAGAAAATTCATATTCTCGATGTAACAAATTAGGATAAATATAATTAAAAAATAAAAGTGTCCATATCAATAGGCCATAATTTGGCATAAGGCCACCCATAACTATACCCATCCAAATACACACACACACACACACACATTCACTATGCATCCTAATCTAATTAAAATCTGTCCATGAAAGATTATCAGAGACAAGGTAGCCATGTGCTGATCTAGGCTGGAAAGCAGTACAGTTGTGTCAGTGCAGTGTCCCATGGTGCCCAAGTGTACATGCAACTATCCATGATGCTGACAGACCAGAGAAGCTGAATTTCTTGCTGCACATAGTTCTTTATTTCTTGGGACTTCAATCACTATTCAAGTCTCTACACACAGTCTATGATTTTAGGAGGAATTATAGATGTCCAGAACTTACTTCTACTTGTTAATCCAATCCCAGTGTCATCAAGAGCACATTCTCAGTCTGGGAAAAAGCAGAGTGATACCCAGGCATCTCTGACCTACTCACTGGCCTCTACACTCAGGAGACCTTCAGAACCCATTTCCCCACAGTTCACTTCCTGGATCTGATTTAATAATCTCTTATCTGAGTTATGTAAATTATGATTTTGGTCAGTATTAGCACACAGTCATAAATAATCTTGATAATTTGATTGTGTGGATCATGACAAATTATGGATAACATTGAGAAGAATGGGAATTCCTGAGCACTTGATTGTACTCATGAGGAATCTGTACCTTGACCAGGAGGCTGTCGTTCAAACAGAACAAGCGGACACTACATGGTTTAAAATCAAGAAGGGAGTGTGTCAGGGTTGTATTCTTTCTCCACACTTATTCAATCTATATGCTGAGCAAATAATCTGAGAAGCTGGACTATATGAAGAAAAACGTGGTATCCGCATTGGAGGAAGAATCATTAACAACCTGAGATATGCAGACGATACAACTTTGCTTGCTGAAAGTGAGGATGACTTAAGGCACCTAGATGAAGGTTGAAGAATACAGTCTGCAGTATGGATTACATCTCAACATAAAGAAAACAAAAATCCTCACAACTGGACCAATGAGAAGCATCACAATAAATGGAGAGAAGATTGAGGTTGTCAAGGAATTCACGTTGCTTGGTTCTACAATCGATGGCAATGGAAGCAGCAGTCAGGACATTAGACGACATGTAGCATTGGGAAAGTCAACTGCGAAGGAACTGTTTCAAGTGCTGAGGAGCAAGGATATCTCCTTGAGGACTAAGGTGCGCCTGACACAAGCCATGATATTTCCAATCACCTGGTATGCATGTGAGAGCTGGACAATGAATAAGGAAGACCGAAGAAGAGTCGATGCTTTTGAGTTGTGGTGCTGGCGAAGAATGCTGAAAGTACCGTGGACTGCTAAAAGAACTAACAGATCTGTCCTGGAGGAAGTGCAGCCAGAATTCTCCTTGGAAGCAAGAATGGCCAGACTTTGTCTCACCTATTTTGGTCATGTTGTAAGAAGGGACCATTCCCTGGAGAAGGATGTCATGCTTGGTAGGGTGGAGGGTCGATGAAGGAGGGGGAGGCCTTCAAGGAGATGGATTGATACGGTGGCTGCGATGATGGGCTCGAGTATAGCAGGGATTGTGGGGCTGGCGCAGGATCGGGCAGTGTTTTGTTCTGCTGTGCATGGGGTCGCTATGAGTTGGAAACGACTCGATGGCACTTAAGAACAACAACAACAACAACATAAATAATCTTATATAACATCTTATATAATATACGAGATATTGAAATTGGTTTGGGGGAATTCCAGATTAAGAAAAAAAACAAAGATTCCTCTTATTTTCTGTCCTTCAAATTGGTCAAAAATTAACATATATTTCACAAATATAAAAAGAAGTCTTCGTATTTATGTTCACTTATATTAACAATTCTTAAATGAATACTCATCTGTTGAACTATAAGTAAAATATGTATTTAATCACTGCATAAAATATTATAAACAAAATGTAAAACTGAGTCATAGAAATAAGTCTCAACAAAATGCCATGAGCATGCATGAAATAAGAAACGTGAGAGAGAGAATGGGTAACCAGAAGAACTGAAATCATTTAGAGCTGTATTAGTTAGTAAAATACTCCTAGATAATATTTTCATGGGCTCCTGATGAGTTTATTTAAATTAACTAAAAGTTTTTCCAATTTTACATTAGTAGAAAATGTCATTCAAAATAATTTCAAAGTTACCAGTTTGTTGATCCAAAAGTATTTAGTGACAATTACTTCATAGAGCAAATGTTTTTCCAAACAATTTTATATTTCATTTTCTGGTCTATGTGGTTTTGGGTTCAGACAACTGTGAAAAAGTATAAGTAAGGACAGAAATAAGTATTTTATTTGGTAAAAGTAAATTTCCTCCACTTGTGTGATTTCAATTTAGGTTTGAGGAAGAGCAGAGAGTCAACTGGAAAATCTTGCATAATGTTGTGGTGAAAGAATGTTGACATGAAAAAAGTTCTAGATGCTTCCCTTCAACCATTTAAACCATTGCTGTGCAACAAATAAGTCAGTCAGAATAGAAAGCCATACTTTAGAATAAAGAGGTTGGCCCTTATTTTCCAGAGACCACTTTGTAATGAAGAAAATGTGTCCATGACACATTATTAAGAAAATATATCATACTTTTTCCACATCAGTAAAGTCACATCCCTGAAACTGGACCACCTTGGCTCAAATTTGCTTGTAAGTAATGCAGTATTTTCAATGTACTAAAAAAGACCTAATCCAATTTTATCTAAAAATTTTCAACCTTTCTACACTGTGGTAGAGATACTTAATATCATACAGTTATCAAAATATTATATGATTCCTTTTGTTATATCAAAAAGGGATTTGTTCATTCTTAAAGATTAAATGAAGGAAAACACATATGCTGAATGTTTTTTTCTTATTAGCCTTAATAATTACTAATAAAATGATTCTTAGTAAAGCACAGAGTGAAACACTTAAAAATTTAGATGCTGGAGTCAGCCACCCCCAGCCCATTACCTAGTGACTGATTGGCCCTAGGAGAATTATTTAAATTTTAAAATCTCAGTATCCCTACTTTATACGTGGGATATATAATAGAATCTATTCCTCCAATTATTACATTATATCAAATAATTATCACAAGTGCTTACAGTACCTGGCACTATAGTGAACAAAAATTCATACCTGTCTTTTTATAGCTTCTCCCTGACCTGTGACAGGTTAGACAAGAT